TTAATTGATATTTTCTTATATATTTATATTTAAATCAATGATAGACTTCATTTCTGGATTAAAAAATTATAACTCTATTTTATTTATTAAAAATAGAAACATATGATTAATTTTTTTTATTTTAAAAAATATGGTGAGCCAACCCACCAATCTGTAATGGGTCAAGTCAGGTTGAAATTTTTCTAGCTCACAGAAAGTGAGTCAGGTTGAGTTAGTCCGTTTAAAGCACCAATCCATGGTGAGCCAACTCATGTGAGCTGTGTTAGCTCACTTTGACACCTTTATGTATAAAGATGTACACATTGCTTATGTAACGACCCGCCATGGTCTCTACACTTAGTGGAATTCAAGTCCGAATGAACACATTCGGTTTTGACTCAAATACAATCAAATCCGAAGGAACTCTCTCAGTTTTCAAGTCCGAATGAACCCATCCAGATTTTTGACTCAAATACAATCAAATCTGAAGGAACTATCTCAGTTTTCAAGTCCGAACGAACCCATTTGGTTTTGACTCAAGTACAATCAAATCCGAAGGGACTCTCTCGATTTTCAAGTCCGAACTAACCCATTCAGTTTTGCCTCAAGTACAATCAAATCCGAAGGAACTCTCGGTTTTCAAGTCCGAGCGAACCCGTTCGTTTTCGACTCAATAACAATCAAATCCGAAGGAACCCGGTCGGTTTTCACTCAAATACAATCAAATCCGAAGGAACTTGTTGCAAAGGACAAGTAGTTCCGAATGAGTCTATTCGGCTTTGCTTCTAAAGGAAGACATCTTTAGCTTGTTTCAAAGGACCTTGTTCGGTTTTAATAAAAGAAAACAACTTTAGCTTGTTTCTTATTAAGACGGTTGTATTTAGCTTAAACGATTTACGCAAATGCCGGATTCAGCGATTCAAAATATGCAACATTGTTACCAAATGCAAACACAAAGGTACTTTTCATTACTCAAAACAAGATACAAAAAAGGCTCTATCGGCCTATTAAACCCTAAACACTTCAAGTTCTATGAAATACACAAAAGGAAATCATTCATCAGGGTGAGTGTGGGCTTCCTCCTGAGTTTCTGGCTCGTCCTCTTGCTCGTGGGTCGGCCCTTCACGATCATCCTCGACTTCGTCATCCGAGGCACCTTGAGTCTCTTCCCCCTCAGGAGCATCATCCGGTTCATCACTATCCGGAATAGCTCCCGCAGGCATCTTGGAAAACGACATGAAAGACCCTTGGTAAAAGTCTTTGGTCATGTCGACTCAAAGTCCTCGCGAAAACGGCCGAAGTACTTTGCTTGCCGAAGAGCGTGGCGAAATTCGGACTCATGCTGCGCCACAATGCGCTCTTTCGCCTCCTCTTTGACCCTATCCAACTCGACCTGGGCCTCTTCTGCTTGGCAGTTATCTTCGTTTATTGCCTTTTGAAGGTCCAGTCGAAGGGTATCATTGTTGCGCCTTTGCACATCTAGCTCGGCGGCAAGCTCGCGGTTCCTAGCTAGGGCTTCCTCGGCCGTTGCCATGGCCTCGGCTGTTGACTTATCGGCCTCTTCGAGTCTTTGCCTCATTTGCATTAACTCACCAAGAGGCCCCATGGCAAGTTGCTGAACCAACGCCAGCTGGCTCCCCTCGGCAACCCCCTTCCCTTTCTTCCCCTTCTTATGCTTGCGAGTCGGCGAAGGAGGACTTCGGTTATCCTGCTCGGGCCGAGGGGATGGCGCAACCGATGAACTGGCCATAACCCCGAAAACCTTAACTTGCTGGACCCGACCAGCTAGGAGGTCACGAATGTTGATCTCGTCGGCCCCGCTCTTCACCATGATTCCTGCACAAATGACCAAGTGAACATCAATATGAATTTAGCTTAAGGCCAAAATAGGAAAAACACGTACCTATCAAATCATAATCCCATCGGGAAGAGTCCACTAAATTAATTAGTGACCTCGTCGGCAAACGCCGAGGAAGTTGAAGCAAAAATTGAATGTCCCGCGGCTCTTCGGCTATGAGAAGGTCGTCCGGTACTTCATCATATGGCCGAGGATCTTGGGGTTTGATCATATTAAGGAATTATATTCCAATGACTCCGAATCTAATGAATTTTATACCCAATGCTTGGAAAAGCCTCAAGGAAGTTTCTATATTTCTGAGGGGTAATTTTATAAAGAAGGAAGAATATGTATACCCCAAGAATCTATTAGAAAACTCCTTGTTAAGGAAAGTCATGAGGGTGGTCTCATAGGGCACTTGGCCCTACTGCTGTAAGTTGCCTATTGTTGTAAGTTGCCTACTGTTGCAAGTTGCTTATTGTTGTAAGTTACCTATTGTTTAAGTTGCTTATTGATGTAAGTTGCTTAAGTTGTATGATGTTCTAACTTGTTGAAGTTGGAAGTTGTGGAATAATGAATGTAGAAATGTTGAAGCAATAATGTTAAGAATGCTTAAGACATTATGTTGAGTTGTATTCATTAACTTAGGAATATAAGAGAGTCTATATTAAAAGTGAATATCCCATTATGAGAATATTGTTGTGGTGCTCTATGAGCCCCGTTATTGAAAATCCTTTTTGAAAAGTTGACCCTTGAAGCGAATTGTTGAGTTTTTTAAGACCTTAGTTAATACAGTATAGGGGTAAGGTTGAGCTACATTGATTATAAAGTGACCAACTACTGCTCCGTATGTGAATTAGGTCGAGCCATACGTGTACAAAGAAGCCAAATTAGAGTAAGGTCGAAGGTCAAGGGCCAAAATCCCTAACTCAACAGGCTAATCACATAAGAGACTTAGTTATGCATGTTAACATCATAGTAGATCTACACCTAAGTTGTTCTACCCTGACAAGAATACTAGACTTTCCTTGATTAAGTGGTAAAATCTGAGAAATCATGTTGTTGTGAATTTTTATCCAAATTGGTTATTGATCTAGTTAGATTGAAAAGATGTGTTGTTGTTAATTCAGTAGAGTCAAGCCACTTAGACTGCTCACCTGTGTTGTAAGAGATCTTTTAGTTGAATGTTTGATGATGTATATAGTTATTGTGTTGTGCATGTAATGTGTTGATATATTAATTTGTGTTATTCACATGCTATGTTGACATGTTGATGAGCTGCATGACTGCGTTGTAAGTTGAACATGTTGAGAATGTTACCTATATGGAGAAGTTGATGTTGTTGAGTTGTTGTATGTTGCATAAGTTGTGAATTTATAACTCAATGTTGTTTATGCTATAAGTGGTATTTGTTGTTAAAAGTTGTAACTAATTTGAGTTGAAATTGAAGTTATAAGTTATTGATATTGAATATGTGATTATGTTTAGTTGAAACCTATCATGTTGTTCCAAGTTGATTATGTTATTTTCTTTCACAAGCATACTTTTACTTTTTTCATATTGTTGGATTACAATGATCATACTTGATATGAGAGCAAGGAAGGATAAGGTTGGAGAGTTATGCTTAGTGGACTGTCATGCTAGAGATAACCTAATTTTAGTGATGTTATTTTGTATAGTATTATGTTGTATAGAGTTGCTTGATTGACGATATGATTTCATGCTTTTAGTATTTTGTACAATGATGTAGGTGGTATATATGTATAAGATTTTTATGTAATTCCATAAGGAACTTTATGCTTTCTAATCTTATAAGCAGTTGTTGTTTTAAGTTTTTTGCACCTTATATATATATATATATATATATATACATATATATATATATAGTTATTATAATTATAATTATTTTTATTTTTTATACATATAGCAACAAGATATTCTCTAAAATCAAAGGAGACAACCAGAGTTTTTCATATCTCATAAGATTTGAAATTGTGATTGTGGGTGAAATAGATACGTAAAACTTTATTAGGTATCACTTATCAGTCTAACTTTTATTGAAAATACAAGATATATATATATATATATTGTATGAATGATTAGGTACTGTTACATGAAAATCTTAGGATAGTTGATTTCAATTTTGTATTTCTGTTACATAATAATTGTGTTATACTAAATATAATAATCTGTCGGATCATTACACTTATGTGCTTTAATAATGATAAGAGTGTGCTTCGATGGGTGCGTGTTATTAAGAGTTTAGTGAGAGAAAAAAATTTAATTTCTTACAAATCTTATATTAGAAAAATTGGTTATGTTTCATATTTATTTTCAAAAAAGTAAACTCCAAGAAATATTGTTTACTATTGTATTCCACTTTCTAACAACTTACTTAATCAAAGGATATGTCTAGATTTTTTTTAAAGCTTTTTCCTTAATAGTACATGGAGTAAAAAGTAAAATTAATAAAATTTGTTTATATTAATTTTTTAATAATATAACTTCCAAGAATTTTACACGATTATGATAAGTGTGTAAGATGTTTAAAAATTAAATAGAAATGAATAAAAGTATAATTGAAAAGATAATAAACAATATTACTTAAACTATTAAAAAAGACACCTAAATAAAAACAAAATATTCTTCTAGAATTGAATAAATTAAAATATAAAATAATATTATTTGCTGGTCAATGCATTCTAGAATTTCTCTTAAATCAACTAATAAATGTGGACTAAAGCAACATGTATATGCATGTCAGCAATCATTTTCATTTCGATCGTAATTCTTGTTGCACTCTAAATTTTATCAAACCCCAAGTCCTGCATAGAGCTAAAGAATGTGAAATGAACATTTTTCTTCCGGCTTTGCCTTCTAGAAGACGAAAAAGGGATAAAACTAAAAGCGACAACGCGTAATGGGAATTGAAAATTCTCTGGTTTGTGCTCATCATTCCAACTCTGACCTTCAAATCTCCCCTTTAGATAATACACACAATTAAAACCGACCAATCACTTATCAGCACCACGCTGACGTGGACTGGACTTGGTCAGCATTACTAACAAAATAAGAGTCTCAGTCTTGGCTCAAAAGTCACTTTCTCAGTCAAACTTGGACTTAAAATCTCCAAATAATAGCTACCATTAAATAGAAACCCGTAGTTTACTTCATTTTAAATATCAAACCTTGTTCTATCTATTTTATGTTAATAGCTTATTCTACTCCACCAATATTCACATGCATTCTTTCGTTTTCAACTCAGTTGCCTAATATATGAAGCCAGTTGTTTTAGCTTAAAGTGCCATTCCTCATTGGCACAAAGTAGGTATTAATCACACTCTAGAGAAGATAATAGAAAATGGAAAGTGAGAAGAGTTGGGAGCAGGACGCACTGATCAATGAGCTAATTGAGGGGATGGAGGTAGCAAGAAAGTTGAAGGAAGATTTGAGTTTACCCTCTTCTGTTGACTCTAGGAACTCATTGTTGCAGAAGATACTATCTTCTTATGACAAGGCTTTAGTTATTCTAAAATGTAATGCATCAATTTCCAACTCACAAACCATTCATCAACCATCACCACACCCCCCACTATTATCCGTCCAAACAAGTCCTCTGGGGGAGGAAGCTGAAGGGCTTAAACACAATTCAAAGAAAAGGTGCGTTTTACTAAGAGACTTGAATAGCACAAGTAAACATATTGAGAAACTAACCAACTTTTTATGTGAAATTTGGTTTCAGAAAGATGACGCCCAAATGGACGGAACAGGTTAGAGTGACGATTGAGAATGGCGTTGAAGGACCCCTCCACGATGGTTACAGCTGGAGAAAATATGGACAGAAAGACATCCTTAGTGCAAAATATCCCAGGTACGAGGACTTTAGCTTTATTTGTCATACCATAAGAAAAATTAAAATTAGTGACAAAATACTTTATATGTAACTTTGTAACCTCATTATTAATTTACAAGGGATTGTTACGTTTACAGAAGCTATTATAGATGCACGTTCCGCAAAACTAAGGGATGCTGCGCCACGAAGCAAGTGCAGAGATCAGAAGAAGACCCCAATGCCTTTGACATAACATACCGAGGAAGCCACACCTGTTGTAAGGGAAACGACGCCGTTGTGACGCCAAAATCAGAAGACACAAAAGAGAAACCGCATAATAACGTTGAGTCTCACCATGCAAAGCCGTCACAAGACAGTTTAACTGTGAAAACGGAAAACATAACGGCACACCCATTGACTTCGTTTGGATGCATGACACAGGATAACCACCACACTTTATTTTCTTCTATGGTTCTAGAGAATGATCCTTTCTTGAGAAGCCTCTCCCAAACATCCTTGTTATCTACAAACACTGCTGAATCGAATTATTTTGTGCCTCCGTCTTTCCTCGTACATGAATTCGATGGCGTCTGTAACAAGCCATGCCCAGATTCTGATGTTGCCGGAATCGTTTCAGCAGATACATCAGCCACCAATTCTCCAATTTTCGATTTTAATTTCTCACTCCATTCAGTGGGAATTGATGATTCATATTTCCCCTTCAATGCCTGCGGGCTTTTATCCCAATTTCCTAAGTGCACTTGAGAGTGAATTTTATGCTATATGTTAAAAGTAGTATGGTTAGCATTTGAAGAAATGGACCGAAGGAGGATGTAATACATACGCTACAGACATCACTAATAAGTTCCGGTGTAGTTTGTTAATTTCAAAATAACCACGTTTGTTTTTGGACAATATTAGTATTATTTAAGGGTTAAGAAAGTAGTGGATTCACAGAATCAGGAAGAAGCAAAGGTAAGAGTTGCATCTTTCAAATGTCAAAACATTTTCATCTCGCTTACGCCATATTTTTTTTATGGTCAAGCTTTCTCATAATTGAACCAGAAGAATTACTTCATTTTTGGGCCCAAAATATGTACACAGTGACCCTTCATAGGCAACAGACCAGAACTGTTGTTGAAATACTGGGAGGCGAGGACTGCCGTCTATGTAGCTCATAACACTCTAAGACTCTTCTCAATACTATTATTGATTATAAATTGTTAAAATTTACAAAATCATAAGTGAGACGCCTCAAGTAAACAACGAGCCCCACAAAAGTTTATAATTTTCAATAAATTTTAATAAGCAATAGAATGAGAGTTCATGAGTGTCAATAGTTCTTTCTCTAAACAGAAATCAATAGCTCCTTTTGATAAAGTGGAGCGTGTTTTTTCAATATAGCATTGAGGAAAATCTTATCGTTAACATGCTACACGGAAGCGAATGTCTAATTTGTACAAACGGCAGCATACTTCGTCGTGGGCAAGGAAAAGCCATCTGGCATTACGGCTTTCATGTAACACCAGAATATTGTCCACCTAAATTACAACAGAATACATGTCATCCGATTCAATAGTTAAAACTTAGGGGGCTAAAACAAAAGGAGAGAGAGAACCCATGCCATTGCCAGCTTACAATTTGCAACAAATTGAATGAGGTTTAAATATCGGTTATCATTAAAAAACAGACTGAGATCGTTCAACCTTCTCTCCAGAGCCCATAAGAGATTTGTTTTCCACATAAAACAGCTGGGATAACTGGTGACGAGTGGCTAAGAAGTGGGTTCAAATGCAGCTTGCTGATGCCAAACGCCATTGAGATTAGACTGCCATAATCGGACCATTCCATCATGACCTGTGGTTGCCAACGTCATTCCACTCATATCCCACTCCATTTGCCACACCTAAACAAAATTTAAAGGAGAACATCTAGTAAGAAACACCTTGACATACAATCAATCAAAGGCTAAGTTCGAACATTCATATGGTCTCTGAAAGACAAATTAAAAAATGGAGGTGAATATACAAAAATAAAGGCAAATCTATATTCATATACCATGCCCTCATGACCTGACAGTAGTGCAACTCTCTCTATTGGGAGCCTTCCATCGTGATCAGGGTTCAATCCAAGATGCCATATAGCAATTCCCTTCTGAGTTGCAACCGCAATGATCTCGTACGGTCTACACGAAAATATACCAGTTAGTAATATATGCATTTAACAGAACAGGTTCTCTCACATTTGTTTGACAACATAAAGACAATTATGGTAGAAACAACGACATCCTAAGCCATACATGAAATCATGGCTATCACACCAATCCAACCTTTTGATGCCAACCATTCATTGTTTGGAAATCCAGAACAATAAATGTGCTTGACATTTTTCTAAAATTTTACAAATATTTACCTGCCAATATTCGGTGCCCATGCAACAGCATAAACCAGATCACCTTTGTCCTCGGGCATGGCCAGTTCTGCCACTGGAAGCCATCTTTGATGAGCCCGGTCAAATTCCCATACCTGTGGGAAAAAATATCAAATGTCAAAGATGCAGAATCCCCCTCCCCAAATCCAACAGAAGAAAGAAGTGGACAAATTTTCTACTGTTGAAATAATCTTCCCCATTGTCACAGTCAGAGCATGTATCATTTGCAAGGTTATACATAGTTCAGAGAGATGGAGAGACAATTCTAGAATGCAATAATCATAACATGGTAATGAAGCTGAAATCAATAAAATAACAGGGCAAATTTGTAGACTAGACTTACCTTAGAAGAATTAAGCTCTGGTGTATTTGAATTAAAACCTATAAGGAAGCAGGATTCCTGGCTTCCACCTTTTTGTGGATTCCAAGATATGGACGCAGAAAGGCATGAAGCTTTTCCAAATTCAGACACTGACTCAATAACATTTTGAAATTCAGCCTAAAATGAGAGAACAAAAATAAAAGAACAATAAGTTGATATTCTTGCATTAAGAATGTTTAGTATCACATTTTATGACTCAGAGAATGTATAATTTGACCGATAGGTAAACAAGTTAGTTTCACCTGAAGCTGCCAGTTTCTCAGTTCCAAGGGATCCAAGAGCTCAAAAACTCTTACATTACCGTCCGAATATGCAGCAACCTTTAATGTTCATGAAAAATTAATTAATTAATTAATAAGAAAAGAGTAAATAATTAGTGCATTATCTATAAGCATGCTTACAGGATTTCACATGAAAGAACGCATACAAAATATAGTAAGGGAAAAACTGATAAAAAAATGTGAAATTGCAACCAATAAACTAATAACTATGATAGCGGATAACTGTTGGAAATTTAGATTTAAAAAACGGTTCCAAAACAAATATTAGTTAAATTTTTCTATTTAGATAACCAACCATTTTCAAACTAGTCGAAGAGATTCCAAATTGAACATCAAGGACTTTGCCCGAACTGTTTCCAAAGCTTTTGCAAATCTTCCACTGAAGAGACTGGGAATCTACACAAAGAGACATAACATTAATTTTCAGACTATCAGCATTAATTGAATAAAACTCCTTAAAGAATAACTCAATGAATGAAAAGCTCTGAGCTGTTAATGGAATCGTACAAAAACCAAAACAATCGATTTAAAAAGAAGTACAGAAAATGTAAAACAACCCGCAAAACAAAAAGCATAGCATCCCATCAACAATTGTATCACCAAACCAAGGTTTCTTTTCCCAACACTTTAATAGCTAGCGTGCAACTGTGCTCGAAAACTAAAGCAAAAAAGTGTTTATCATAAGAACCTTTTTCAATTTAAGCAAAAAAAATCCAATCAATGATACCTTCTGCAATTGCAACCTCCTCCCACAATGACACAATTCCATCGGCAGATATACACGCAACTGCATCGCCATACTCTGGTGGAACCCAAACAATCTTCACGATGTTTCCTTCAACAACCTTCACAGTTCGAGGGGAAAATAAATACATACAGCGTAGAAATCGTCGAGAGAATGATAACAAATGAACAATAATTCTTCCACAAGTACTATTTGAATTTCTACATAATATAAGCCAAACTAAACATATTTATCTATTCATGCTGATCAATTAACCTAGTCCGAATTAAATGGTTTAATAAAAGCAAAAGGAAATTCGGAAATGTAACATTAACGGTGCAATGTTGGAAGACGAACCCTAGACTTGAAAGTAGTGCGGAGGGAGGAAGAAGAAGGTGGGTGGCGGGAATCGAAGATTGAAAGCGTGCCATCGGCGGAACCCGCAGCGAGTCTGGAGCCAGAGTAGTTCCAAGATGTGCAGGTTGTGCCATCTTCAAGACTCAACAACTCCTTCGCCATATCCCCACTGCTGAAACTCCCCAAACCTAAAAACCTATCTCTGAGGTTTATGGGTGTGGTAATATTCCAACGAAATTTTTTATTTTAAATTATTATGTGAAAATTATAAATATTTAAATTATTATAAAATGTTAATAATTATAAATAAATTTAAGTTTTGAATTTGATAAAAAAAAAATTTGATACTCTTAAAACAGTTAATATTTTGGAAACTACTTTTTAGCAAAGTTGAAAAATATTTCTATCGATATCAATATAAAAAAAATTATTAATTTATTTAGTTTTCACTCACACATCGAATATTTTTGACAATTTATATATTTAATCATTTCGTTTTAAATTTTTATGTTTTCTATGGTTATTTCTTTTTTAATAAACAGTTTTGTTTTTAAATCTTTAAAATAAATAAATAAATATTTTAATTTTAATAAAATGGAAAAATAATATATTATTCTATGTATAGAGATCATAACTAGTATATATAAAATAAAATAATATTCATTAAACACTTTTTAATTGTTATTATTAAATAATATTTTTTATTTAATAAGAAGACTGATCTCTATAACAATTAAAATATTTTTAGCTGTAACTTTATGTTCATGCAAAAATTACATATCAATCTTTAATTAAAGATCAAAAGTTTCTTCAAAATTCAAAAAATGACCGCAACACTTTCTTTAATATTTTTTTTTATTATATTTTACAAATTTTGATAAATCAAATATATATTCATGATTTAATAGTGTAATCCATTAAAGTGCGTAATTTCAATAAATTTCGATCTAAACAGTTTGTACAATCCTAAATGATTAGAATATAAAATTGTAAAATGTTTTTTTGCAAGAAAAGTGAAGGTTAACTAGTTAGAGTTCCATTTCTTTTATATTTCAATGTCATTTTTAATGCCCTCAAACGTCATTGTATATTTCTCTTTTCTAAGTTGTGTTTGGTTCAACATAATAAAAAATTATCTATGAAAAGGTTAACGTATATCATGTTATCATATTTAGGAGTATAAGTTTTGAATAAATATTTTAACAAATTATTGGTTTCTAGAAATATAAAATATTGACATTTCCTATTTTTTTTAGTTTTATCTAATATTATTAATTCTTATAATTAAGAATGAAAAATATTTTTTTACTATAACTACTTGCTCCATTCTTTCTCATTTATTCTTCTTTTTCTTTTAAAATTATTAAACACCAACTAAACATACTCATAAAATAATAATATTATTATGTATTTCATGATATAATATTATGCCAAAAAATCTCTAGATGATAAATCAAAATTTATTAATTAAAAATAATAATATTTATTATTATATCATCAACAAAATACATTATATATATATATATCATTATTTGATTGTTAATAAATAAATTAAATCTTAATAAAAATAAGTTATACTTTTATTTCTAATTTCATAAGTCTTGTAATATAATTATTGTCATTATCACATAGTGGTTGTAATGGTGATAGTAGAGATAACATTACCATTATCATTGTTATCATCATTATTATTGTGTTTGTCACGTTACATTATAACAAAGATGATGATAAATAATAATGGTGATGATAATGATAATTAATAATAATAATCTCATATATAGGATAAATATTAATGATTAAATTTTAATCTCAATCATTAATTTTTTATTTATAATATAAAGACAATTTTTAATTATCTCATTTTTTATAATAAAATATTTTTTTTTAGATGTTATCCCTCCTCTCTATATATATATTGGAAAGATCCGTTTATTTCAGGAATAAATTTATCTAAACTTACTTCGTTCAATAACTAATGCTTTATATCAAATCTCAACGATCCAATTGTCGAATTTAAAATTTTTAATGTACAAATCAAAATTACAAATTTTTAAAAAATTTAAAAATTATTTGATAAGTATATATATATATATATATATATGAGTTAATCATCCATATACTGTCAGTGTAAA